CCGCGAGTAGATAAATGGGTACTCTCACCCTGGTGGGAGGAAAAATGCTGGCGGTGCCTTGTACGGGAGATGGGACCAGTTGCCGGTAACATGGAAGTTGCATATGTCCGAAAAAGATGCGAAGCAACTGCCTGCCTGCGGCCGCCAGCTGGGCTCCATTCTAGGAAGGAGGGAATGGCAAACCACTTCCGAAAACACCTTGCCATGAAAACTGCAGGGACTCGTCCAGGGAGTCGCTGCAGAATCAGTCACGATTGAGTGCGGATAAAAAAAAAATTGTCTAATCCTGCTACTGTTCTATCAATAAGAGAAAAAGAACCAGGGAGTGGGCTTGTTCTCTGTTAGAGGACAAACTGACTTCACACAGAGCACTAAAATATAATGTTTATATGAAGTTAGTATGGTTCATTCAGTAAACTGTAAAAGCAAATAATGGCTTAGCATGTTTCATGAAAGACAGCTTATTTCAAGCATTTTTCTAATGGCACATCTACTTTTAATGTGTACACAGCAATATAGGATTTCCAACTGAAAGTGTTATGCCTGACAGGATCAGAGCAGCAATTTAAACAAACCCAGGATCAGAGCACTTCGCTCTTAAATTTTGTAGAATGGACTATTTAATAGAGTTTGCTCCCCTCCCCCATGCTATTTAACAGCATTCCTATAAAGAGCAGTAGTCCTTATAGTCAGTCAAAATTAAAAACAGGACTGCAAAGGGTCTAAGGGAGAGCCTGTTAAGCTGAACCAGTGCCAGCTTAATTGATTCAGGGCAGTGTAAATATTTTGTAGGCCCAAGTAACAAAATTGAGCCAGAGCTAAAAGAGGGATCCAGGTGATACTTTCCCACTCAAGTCACTTTCCGTTTCTTAGCAGAAGGTCTCTCAAAGATATCCCGCACGCCAGCTGCCTTCTGCTTGAAGAACTTTGTGTTCTGCGCACTCTCCTGTCCCCAGGCAGAGTCAAAGGAGGTTGTGTCCTGGTCCACCAAGTGTGTATATTTAGTTCGTCCAGAGCGCCCAAAGTTCTTCACCTGGATAGCAAAGAGAGAACAGTGTAGGAAGTTCTGAGCTGAGGCCTCCAATCGCTTACCACCTGACCTCAGTGCTGTGATATTGCTCAGAGAATGCAGGTGGGAACACAAAGCTTACAGTGCCTGCAATCCACAACCAGGCATCTCTCTCATACCTGCATGACTTTAGGTAAGATTGTCTTGTTGAAGTGATCCTCTAGAGTTGGAGCACTGAAGTCCCTTTTGTAGACATCCTCATCTTCATCCTGAAGAAGTAAGAGCACAGCTGAGCACAGGGAGACCTGATAACTACTGGGGGTGGGGGTGGAAGCAGGGAAAAAGATTACAACACTCTGGATTGCAGGGGAGATAAAATAGATGGGGACAATACTATTATACAGGTGATGACATATGGTGTTCCACTCTGCCAAATATGGATCTCGCTGTTTATTTGGTGGTCCTTCAGTTTCAGGGACAAAATGCTCACCATGAAGAAGGCGCCGCGGTGATAATACTTCTGCAGGAACTTGTATTTGCCCTTCACAGCCTTATTGGTAATGACCTTGCCGTTGGCTCGGAGCTCAGCCCGCCGTTCTTCCTCAGTCAAATTTCGTACCCGTTCAATCTCTGCTTTCTCTTTCTCCAACCTACATAGAATAAAAAGCCTGCTTCAGCCACACTCCCTCACTCCAAATGCTTGATAAATCACTTTCAGCAGCTTGCAGAGCCCCCATAGCCATATAAAGCTGCCAAACAGCCATGGGACTTGTCCCAGTATTACAACAGCCTGGTAGGACAGAAGGAAAGGAAGGTTGTCTTGTGAAGATTTTCTTTTAACATCCCAAGAGTCAGATCATATGCAGCTTATTCCGTCTGACCTCTCTCTTGCTATTCCTAGTCCATCACATTGGGTGGGAAGAAGCTGGTTATTCTGAGAAGGCAGAAACCACATCTCTAAAACAATCAATCATGTTATAAAATTGCTCTATCCAAGAAGCAGTCCTTAAAAGAAGCCACCTCTGGATCAGAATTATCTTTTTAATAATCCCCTTCCAGGCAAGATGCTTAGGAGTGATTGCCCTGCGACCTCTGGCATGCTTGACATTTGGTGTAGATTATTTTCAAACTGCCTTGAATGAGGTAGCTCTCTTGGGAGAAAGATCTTCCAATGAATTATCAATTGTCAATTATCTAGGCTTACTGCCAGCAGGGCCTTTATACTTGTTGGATTAAATATTTTACCATCCTTGTTGCTGGAAGTAGGATTTAACAATATTTCCAGTGCAAGAGCAACTGTGCTGTTGTCCTTTCAGAGAAACAGACCAAGTCCGTTGCACACTTTTGCACTGCTTGGCAAGCTGTCTGACATTAAGCTACAGTAGCTCAGAGCAGAACACCACCCAGAAGCCTGGGACCAGCTGTTCAGCTCCATCATTGTTTATCTATGGGAACCTATGAAAAGGAAGTCATAAATGAAGGGAGAAGTTTATAAAACAGTAATGATGTAGGAATAGATGTTGTGTCATTGTGTGGCCTGTTTAAAGGGTGTGTGAAGGCCATATCTGTGTCTGGCAATTGGAAGACTGATGTTATTGTTTTGCATGACCTACAAAACCTGAGATGAGTTTGTCAGGCATACCTGACAGAATTCTGACTGAAAGAGTATAAGAGGTCCCAATGAGCAAAGTTTCAGAAGTACAGTGTGACCTTGGGCTGGGGAGAACAGACCAGATGTTTGCTGTTCAGTAAATCCCTGACAAATGTATGAAAGTGAGAAAGAAAGTACATTCGCATTTGTTGAGTCAGACCAAGCATGAGATGAAATTGATAGGTTGCCATTATGGAACATTTTCATAGAATTGTACGGTTGGAAGGGACCTTGGAGGTCTTCAAGTCCAACCCCCTGCCCAGCAAATTGAATTTGTGTATGATGCAGTGAGGACGATGAATCCAAAAGTTAATTCATAAAAGATCACAGTGGATGGGAAATAGAGCGAACAAAAGAAGTTGGGCTTAAAAGGTGAAAGCAAGAGGAAGTAGATTAATCTGTGTACCTCCTCTCCTTACTAAAGAGGTGAAAATGGATGGAGAAATTTTAAAATGTGCAAATGATAATAGAAAGATAGGGGGTAGTACATGGATTGTTTGTTGAAAGAAGTGAATGTCTTCTGCTCTGGTATCTGAAAGGGAGAGTTGGGTATATCAGAAGAAAAATAAAAGCTCAGTGCCACAGCACTGGCTACAACAAGGATAGAGTCAGGAGTGAATGGGCGTTGAATGAATTGGACAAGCACCGTGTGTCTAGTTCTGGTTGCCACAATATAAAAGGGATGCTGAGGAACTGGAAAGAGTGCAGAGATGAGCAACAAAGATGGTGAGAGGCTTGGAGGCTAAATTCTAATAAGAGTGCTTTTAGGAACTGGGTATGTTTAGCCTAAAGAAGAGAAGGCTAACAGGAGATACAACAGCATTGTTCCATATTCGAAGACCTAGCTCAGGGAAGAGAATGTGGATAGGGTAGAACAAGAACCAATGGATGGAAGTCTCGCAGAGGGAGATCCAACCTAGAAATAATGGGAATTTCCTAACAGTGAGAACTATTAAGCAGTGGAACAGCTGGCCTCCTGGAACTGGGAGAGCTCCCTCACTGTAGGTTTTCCAGGAAGGAGAGGACAGCCATTTGGCTGGGATGCTCTGAGGATTCCTGCCTTGGGCAGAGGGTTGGGGATGAAAGTCATGAGTGGACTGCAAGGACTGAAGAGTATAGCTTACTCAAAAGGGGGGGGAGGAGAGGCATTGTGGGTGAAGGAAGGGCACACATGCATTCAGATCCAGGAAAATGAGCACTGAGGATCCAGTCAAAAGCATTTGGGCAACACAAGAAAATGACATTTTTACTGCAGAGGTGTGCTATCCATTTCCAAGCCAGGCAGAAAATCTGGATAATGCCTTTCTGGACCACATTACAGAACTTTCAGAGTGAAGTGCCATAGTAACAGTGGGAGACTTCAACTCAGACATTTGCCATCTTAACCAAGACTGCAGGATCACAAAGATTCTTCGGTAGTCTCGCTATCCGTTTAGTTTTGTAGAAGGCTAAAGAAGAGACAAAGAGATTGGCTGGTTGAAGAGGTAAAAGCAATGAGTAGCTTGGGAGGAAGTGACCACGACATTTTGTGAGTTCAAGATGCAACAGAAAGAGAAACTGGAGCATAGCCATACCTATTAGATTTCAGGAGAGCCAATTTCAACAAGTTTAAAGAAGTACTAGGTGAGATTCCATGGACAGAAATCCTTACGACAAAAGGAGCAGAGATGGGTTGGAAACTTCTCAGAAATACAGGTGGTCCTTTGTTTACAACCACTTGTTCAGCGTCCGTTCAAACTTACGACGATGCTAAACAAGTGGTAGTTAAGACCGGTCCTTGGAGTTCCGGCCAACGCAGCATCCCTGCGGTCATGATTGTGATTTCCAATATTCCCTGCCAGCTTCCCACAAGCAGTCAATGGGCAACCCAGCAGGAAGTCAGAAATCACAGTCACATGAGGTCCTTGCTTAACATCTGCACAGTCCTCGCTTAAAGACAGCAACTGCAACTTTTGGAACTGCTGTCGCTGAGCAGCGCAGTCATGTGATGTTGCGCTTTATGACCATGTCACTTAGCAATGGCAACTCCAGTCCTAACTGCCGTCATGAAAGCAGTTTAGGGTGGCAAGAGAAGCTTAAGGCAAAAAAGGACTTTGTTTGGCTATGTTGCTAGGAAAAGGAAGAAAAAGGAAAAGCAAAGTTTATAAGCTGCTTTGGTCTTCTTCCCAAGGAGCACTATATACAAATGCACTTGAGCAAGTACAATTAACACAAGGATTTCAGTAAAGAGACAGTTAGGGAATATCTGGCTATCACGAATGAGTTTAAGTCTACGACTAGACCAATTACATCAGTCTTGAAGATGTCATTTCTCAAGAAGATGTATTGACAAAGGACTAGAAAAGACAAAGAAAAAAGAGGGGCTGCATAACTAGATTAATCAACTAGATGGGAAAAACTCTGGAATAGATTAAACAGCTGCTTGTGAACATTTAGGAAATAATGCATTACTTGGCAAGAGCTAGCAGGGGTCACAAGAATTCATAAAGTCAAACCAGTCAAATCTCGTTTGATCGTGAAAGGTTTAGTTGACCATGGGAATGCAATGGATATAGGGACCCCCAATTTCAGCAAAGGATGTGACTCAGTGTCCTGTGGGATCCTAACTGCAAAAATAACACAATGTGCGTTGCGCTATCTACATTAAAGGTATACAGAGCTGGTGGAACAATGACACCCAACAGGCATGTGCCAACAGCACCAACATCCAGCTGGAAAGATGGAGGGGGGAGGAGAAAACAATTCCAGGCAGCAGGATATGCAGAAGGATCTGGGCATCTTGACAGATCGCAAACTGAACTTGGGCCAACAAGTGCAAAAGAAGAATATGCCATCCTAGACTGCTTCAACAAATTTATAATGAGAAGATGAAGAAGCATCACGTCATTGTTCCTCTCTATTCTGCACTAATCCAACTGCACCAAGAATATTCTGTCCAGTTCTGGGTACATTTTAGGAAGGATATTGACAAGCTAGACAGCAACCAAAAAACTGGAAGGAAAAATTTAAGAGGAGCTGTTGTAGGTACCAAGGATGTTTGGCCTGGAGAAAAAAAAACTGTCTATAAATGTCTGAAAGACTATCATGTAGATGGGGTAGATATGCTCCGTGTTGTTGTTCCAGAAAACAGAAGAATAAAGAATCAGTTTAATTACAAGGAATTGGTTAATAAACTTCCTAATGATAAGAGCTGTTTGGGAACGGAACAAGGTGTCTTGAGGTTAGGCTAATGCTGCTTACAAAGGCTGAATAGCTGTAGTAGTGGAGTCCTGCACCAGGCAGAGGGTTGAAAAGTTTCTTTCAGCCAGGGAACGCCACAGTAAATAGTCTGGCACCAACTATTGCCTTCTTCTCCCCAACTTGTGGGGATGGAAGGCTTTAGCTCTTTACCCAATCAACGCCACATCTGATTATACTTACGCCTCACGCTCCTCACGATCCCGCTTGATCCGCTTCAATTCTCGCACTTTCCAAGCCTCGTACTCTTCCTCATCATTCTCATCATCAGTGTCCAAAGCATCGAGGGCTGCCAAAGAACGCCTGTTCTCCTCCAGCTCCTTCTTGGCTTCTTCTTCTACAATCTGCAGCACATTCAAGAAGAGAAAGTCTCCTAAAGGACCACATTCCTTTGGACTGCCAACCACCCGGATGTGACTTCCCCAATACCTTAAGGGTATACTTGCGCCTCTCTTCAGCCATCCGTTTGGCCTCTTGCTCCAGTTCCTTCTGTTTCAGCGCCTCTGCTTCACGCTCCTGGACTGTGATTCGATCCTTTCTGCAACAATATTCGTGGTAAGTGTCAAATAATATCCAAATTAAAACTTTTCTGGAGGAAAATCTGCTTATTGGAATTCATGCCCATCACTGAAAGAAAAACTCCTTAGAAGCTATCCCAAAGTGGAGCTGTAATGATAAGTCACCCGTATTTTAAAAGAAAAGCTGTGAAATATCTCTCAGGCTCAAAAGATCGGTGCCCATGGCCACTTCCTCCCCTCTCTTTGTTTAACTAATGGAACTTGCTTGCGAATGAAGACAGGTTTAAGACGTGGTTCGGTTTCATCCTCACTATCTGTATACTCCTCGTATTCAGACTCAGTTTCAGACTCCTCTCCAGAACGGCCCTCATCTTCCAGTTCCATCACTTCCAACTCCTCATTCTTGCGTTCCTGAGCACGCTGGCGCATCATATTACGGCGACGCTCAATTTCCTGTTAAGGAAAGATGAAGGGAAAAGGTTATTGTACATCCGTGCCCCCCACCCCATTCCAACCAGTCTCTATCATGTAGCAGTTTACAGCTAGGTTACAGCTACTTGGGTACAGGACGTCTATGTGCCAAATGGTCCAGGTCCAACTCCTGGAATCTCCAGCAAAAGCAGAGGAAAAATAGCCAAGATCCTGGACGCTGCCCAGTGAGGTAACAGTGGGCTGGTGGACATACCGCAGAAATATTTCCCTATGTTTCTAAATACGGGAGGGCTCTTTGCTGCTTCTCTTGCAGAAGCACCTCTAAAATTTGCTCAGTTCAGCCCCAAATGCCGAGCCTGCTTCCTCAGCCCGCACACACCTCGTCGTCTATCTCCTCCTCTTCCTCCTCACTGGTGTCCTCTCGCTCCACGGGCCAGGCTTCTCCCTCCACTTCGGAGTCGCTGTCCCCCATCACTTCCGGCTCCACGATCTTCCGGTGCCTCGCCAGCCTGGAAGACAGAGGCCCTTTTCCTCTACGGGCTTCTCGCGCGGGGCAGGGCCCTGCCCCCGCACCCTTCCACCCCCCCCCCGGGGGGGGGG